GGGTGATTGAGTTTGTACAAGAGGGTCAATTTTCTTTCTCTTAATTGAGTCTTTTACTTTGGTTGGATGTCACATTTTCACACATTCAAAGCACGGAAATGTTATCATTTCATATTTTTTACATTATATCAAACCTCTTCAGATCAATTCCAACATTTACTCATTACATTAATGTCTTTCGATCATGTAACCTTTCCATCTGGAAAATATCTTGTTCCTTCACCTTCTCATGTCGTCTGAAAGATTTTTTTAACATTATTTACTATTAGAAATTAGGCTTTCAAGTGCTGTCCTCTTTTAAGATTCGGAATTTATCTTTTTTTGGGGAAATTAATTCTCCGTAAATAATTTGTCCTGTCGCCAATCTAACCATGTGTTGTCAAAGATTGAATGTATTGTAGGAGAAGGGTGGATGGTCGCGTGTCAGATCCAAACTCTGATAGAAACATAAAGATTTCAAATCTTAAAAACTAAACATATCTGGACATTTTTCCACCAAATGGATTTCGATTGAAATTACGGATTCTCCTTGAATGTGTTTGGCAGCGAATCAGTTTATTTTTCATACAACGGATTCGAATTCAGGGACATATTGGAAATTTATCAAAAAGTGAATCAATTGAAGTAAAAAGTAGGTTTAGAACAAATATATTGATTTAATGACTCTGTAGAAAATCAATATTCTAAATAATTGGATTTCCATTCAAATACAAATTTATCCATTTATTTGTATTCACAACCCTTTATTTCTGTTAATGTATTTCCATTTTTCTCTTTTCATTTGTACATTTCCCCCCTCAGTTTCTTCAGAACACTGAACACATGGGAACACTGAACAGTCTCATCCTTCGAGGGTAACCCTGTACAATGTACATGTCTTTTATTAAAGATTCGGAACAGGGCAAAAATTCTGTTGAATAAGAATGGTATTTTCCTTTTATCATTTGAACAACAGTGTATGAGAGTAAGGAAGAGGATATCACGTATCAATTCCTAAATTCAAGAACAGAGTTGAAATTTTATTGCTACAATATCACGTATCAATTCCTATATTTCAAAATATAGTTGAAATTATATTGTTACGATGAGAATGTTTTTCGTTCAAATTTTCCCTTGTTTAAAATATCCCTTTCATCTTCAATATTTTTCTCCTTCTCCAAACTTCATCTTCAATATATTCCTCCTTCTCCCACCTTCATCTCCTTTATATTCCTCCTTCCCCCAACCTCATCTCCTTAATACTCCTCTTTCTCCCACGTCCCACCTTCATATTCTTCATATTTCTCCTTCCTCTAAATTAATCTCCTTTATCTTCCTCTTTCCTTTATCTTAATCTCCTTTATATTCCTCCTTCCTCTATCTTAATCTTCTTTATATTCCTCTTTCCTTTAACTTAATCTCCTTTATATTCCTCCTTCCTCTAACTTAATCTCCTTTATATTCCTCCTTCCTCTAACTTAATCTCCTTTATATTCCTCTTTCCTCTAACTTAATCTCCTTTATATTCCTCCTTCCTCTAACTTAATCTCCTTGATATTCCTCCTTCCCCTAACTTAATCTCCTTTATATTCCTCCTTCCTCTAACTTAATCTTCTTTATATTCCTCTTTCCTCTAACTTAATCTTCTTTATATTCCTCTTTCCTCTAACTTAATCAGGTTTATATTCCTCCTTCCTCTAACTTAATCTCCTTTATATTCCTCCTTCCTCTAAATTAATCTCCTTTATATTCCTCTTTCCTCTAACTTAATCTATTTTATATTCCTTCTTTCTATCCACTTCAGGGGAGTGAATCAAGGGGATGGGAGATATTCAGGGGTGCAAGGGGGAGTTCATGGGTGTGTAGAGGGGTGTGTTGGGTGTTGAGGGGGGGGGGTGCAGACTGAAAAGACTAGGAAAGAGAAGTGTATTAAGTGAAAGGAAGACAAATTATAATTGTTCGTTCATCCTTTACGATCTGTATGATCTCCATGAAAACGAGATATATTTAGATCGTTTAGAGAAAATTATCGAGACCTGGGTGGTCAAGACGGTGCAACCTGTTCACGTTCATCACCTCTGTAGTCTACAGATACATTAGCTTGAACCTCTACCAGATAGGTTCTAGCATAGTTTCTGATGAAGAAGCTAACAAGTAAACAACAGCTATTTTAGACCCTTTCCATTATTTGCACTGTTCCTCATAAACTAGTGTTTCAACCCATTTAATACAGTTATTACTCCTCTATTCTCCCCTTTTACCTCTTCAGAATTCTATTTCCCCTCTCCCATTCCTTTCAATTTTTATTACTTCTACTACTCCCTTAAACTTCTCTTCACCTTTTCACATCCTTTAAATTATACTTTCTTCAAATGTCGTCTTTTCAATAATAATTCTGAAAACGTATCCACCCCCAAAAGTAGGAGTTATGAACGTCGAATTTGCGCTCAAACTCAGGATTAGCAGATCTTTTTCAAATGAATCCGAAAGAAGCTTTCCACAACACTGTATACTCAGTTCAACTACCTTACATAGCCGGTCACTCCCTTTAATTCCCATATTTATTTAGATAATTTACTCCGGAGTCTCCGAACAAATATCAATATGATAAATATCTTAATCCGACTTATTTACTCCATTTTAATGAGTACGTTTTGATCCATCTAAGAAACTCCACATTAAGGAGTACTTCTTCCGGTTTAGAAGGACTCTCTTAAACATCTAGGATAGCCGTCCATAGATCTAAATTTATCTTTCTATCATATTTTTCATTTCTAATCTCCCCATAAACTCATCAGACAATTATACAACTATATTCTTTATCCTTCTAGTCAACTAGGCCTGTTTTGTTGTCTTTACCACTTCGGAGCGTAAGAGATAGTTTGAACTGAGCGTGAAAGGAGTTAAGATTAAATCTCTGGAATTGATTAGAATGTAGAATAGAAACAGAGTCGGATACCACCCAGTTTTAGATCTCACATCATTTCTACTTTATCTATGCAACAAAATTATCCAGTAAAGATATTCATTAAATCAACAAACGTTCGTGTGGATAGGGTTGTAGATTAAATGTTTAATAGCAATTTTTATTTATTATTATATACACATATCTTGTTTTGCAGTGCTAGTTATGAGACAAGATTATGAGGTAAACTCCTGACTATCCAGGACTGGTTTGTAATCACTATGCTGAGCTGGAGTGGGAAAGGTAGGTTCGTGGATGTTTGTCTCTAAGCTAGTTGACAGTTTGGGTTCCAGATCGTCCTCTCTCTCTCTCTCTCTCTCTCTCTCTCTCTCTCTCTGTGCTCCGCGTATATCGATATAAACACAGAGCGGCGGATTTCAAGCCCGGGTTCACCATTTACGCCGTACCGGTTCGACAACACGGCCCTCACCGGGCTAAAGTACAGTCGTGTGGAGACCTTACGCATTGCAACACACGGAAGGGAGACTCAGCGTCAAAACATAACATTAAAAATATTGGAACAAGTTGTAAGATGATCGTAGAACCGTATGCGAGCTCCTCCGCGGATGAAAACTCTAGCAGTGAAGAAACCAACCGAAGAATCCGTCCGACAATGCAGAGGAAGAAGAGAGGAAACCTATCTAAAGAAGCAATACTTGTATTAAGAAGGTGGCTCTATGATCACAGATACAATGCATATCCCAGCGATGCCGAGAAGATCGCCCTGGCCAGGGACGCGGGTTTGACCGTTCTCCAGGTCTGTAATTGGTTCATTAATGCTCGGAGAAGAATCCTACCAGACTTGATCCGTAAAGAAGGAAACGACCCACAAAGATTTACAATAAGTCGACGAGGTTCCAAACTAAAATCTTGTCAGACAGGAATGACTGAGACAAGTAAGGTTGTGAGGAACGGTTGGGATATCGGAGGAGGAGATCATCAATATGTTGAATCTATAACAATGTACAAGGCTGAGGACGAATCATCTGACGAAGAAATGGATTTCTCTGTGAGCAGAACCCCTGGAAACAACAAGCAAAGATATCAGAGTGGAGAGTCAGGAGTATTTTCATCTTCAGACAGCAGCCAGATATCATATAGCTGTGGGATAAACCCTGAGAAACCTCATTCCTCTTGTTCTTCTCCTTCTCACTTCTCTCAGAGAACAGATCCACCATCTCCTTCTTTGCCTTCTTCTCCTTGCTCGAGGCTCAGTCAAGGTTCTCCTCCACCCTCTCCTGAAATATCCTGCGACGAACCTATAGATATGTCGACCAAAGGATTATATTTTCAGTCCTTCTCTGGGTCTCCCGCTACACACAGGGAGCAGTTCCGGAGTTTATACCTTCTAGTAGATGCAGCTCTTGGAGAAGTGGATCATCGAGAACCATCATCCTTTAAGACTGCTTACATTAAGTGATTAATCACACATATCTTTATCCAGTTCTATTCCTTCTGAAATGTTAGTCATGATCATCATGGTGAAAAGATCATGTATTTTTGGTGAAATTTATAGAGATTAATTTACTGTATGTCCATGTATTTTGACAAATATTATATAAATGTGTATTCTAATATATAAATGCTTTATCGTGGAGAAATCCACTTCTATCCACACCTCGCTCAGTTTCTAGTTTTATATTTACACTTGTAATAAATTGCTCCTACCTCGTAAAAGACAAATTGTTCATTATTAAACCGATTTTGTACAATAAACTACAACATATTCTTATATTAAATACATTTCATCAGGTAGAATAGGAGAGTCTAGATAGAAAATAAGTTGAAACAAAAAAATGTTTTTTTTTGTATTTAGTCTTAGTCCCAGCAAAGGAACTGAGTTTTTGCCACAAATCAATTATTCTAATCCCTACATCTTTGCAACCTGAGGGAAGATGATGTTAACCTTTGATATTTTAAACTTAGATTATATGATTGAAAAGAATTCATTGTTTGAAATATCTAAGGTCTACAACATTGGGTTGCTCAGATATAGGGATTAGAAAATCAGAGTTTGTGGAAAAGAGTCAATTCCTTTAATCCTTAGTTGAGATTTCCGAGTTGTCTCATTTCATCTTGCCATAAACAAATCTAGGAACTTAAGTATCTTAGATTTAGCGGATGGTCGAGTTAGAAATTTTATGTTTGAAGTTTTACAGACACGGAAGCGGAAATAAAAATTTTCTATGTTGATGCAAGATTAAAGAAAATATGAATTTTAAGAGAGGAGAGAGGATATAAAAGTATGTTTATTCTAAACCAAGTTCTTTAATTGAACTGTAGGAGGAGAGGGTTAAGCAAAGTATCTGGGTAAAGCTCTGACCAGGGTTATTCCACCCATGGTTCGATCTCTTCTTAGTAATTAAAAGACTCTTAATCTTAAAAGTTAAATACATTTCTAAACACGCCTGATTTGCTCATAAGATCCCAATTCCTGGCTCGTTTTTTCTTTCCACTTTTCCTTATGAGATTTCATTAGGTTGCGAGAATTCTTTATTATTTTTATATATATATTGGCGATAATATTACTCTGGGTTACTCGAAATATACGTATAAACACTAAAAGTGGAGGTGTGGTTTAACACATTTACGGAGACTTATTGTATAACACTTGGAATTCATGTTCTTTAAACGTGTCTAGGTTCTTGTAAACGAGAATACTACGCGTAGTTACATAAAAAATAAAGAGTATTTTATTACGTAAATATAATCAATGGAGAGAAGGAGATGACTCAAAATTTATATTCGTACCTAACTGATAAGTCAAATAATTTACCCAGACTCGGTATGTACATTATGCAGCCAATATATGGCATAATATCATGTTTTGTAAAATATTTAAAATATTGAATCTAATATGGTCGTTGTACTCCACTACATTTTGCCGACCCCTTTATTTTCCTGAAATGATTGTTGGATGAAAATGTCTGGTTTGCTAGTATTCTGGTATCGGAGTAAACCTGGCAGAATCTGTAAATTATAGGCTTAGTGAACTTTATGATTGACAGCTTCAGCTAACTGTCGCCATTTTATCTATCTATCCATAAACCCATTATAGGTGACCTCTCTCTCTTCACAATATTTGTTCATGCAAATAAAGACTGACCCCTCCCCATCTTCTCCCCTCTCTCTCCCCCTTATTCTTCTTATTTTTCTTCTTTAACCTTCTCAATTTTCTTTTCATGCTACTCCCCCCTTTATCCTCTTTCTCCCTCCTTCATCCGCCTTCTCCCTCTTTCTCCCTCCTTCTCCCTCCTTCTCCCTCCTTCTCCCTCCTTCTCCCTCCTTCTCCTTTATTCTCTCTCCGACTTCATCCGTCACCCTGTTTCAAGTTAAAATATATTCTTCAAAATCTAAATTAAAACATTAAATCTCGGTAATATGGTGGTGAGCGCTCTAAATTCCATATTTCTCAATATTTGCTTGTAACGACTTAATTTGGCAGAAAGATCAGTCTATTAAGAATAGGCATGAGATAGATGAATAGATAAACTGATGAGGATAGAGAAAGAGAAGGTTTTCTACGAAAATCCAAATGTTTATCTTTAAAATCTGAATAAATTAAATGTGTAGTGAACGCAAAGCAGAGAACAACGGATACACAAGAGGTTTGATGGAGAATCCTCGGTTAGGAATATCAATGAAGGATGAAGATATAGGTTTAGAGGAATCTAAGAAAGGTGGGTTTAAAGTAAATAAAGAGAAAAATCAAGGGATTGTTAGAAAAATAGAGGAAAATAAAATTTGACAGCAAATGATGATTAGAATTGTATCCATGATTTATATATTTTATTAGAATTGGAAGGTTTAATACTTTCCAGATATTCAGAATTGGAAGGTTTAATACTTGCAAGATATTCGTAATTGGAAGGTTTAATACTTGCCAGATATTCAGAATTGGAAGGTGTAATACTAACCAAATATTCAGAATTGGAAGGTTTAATACTTGCCAGATATTCGTAATTGGAAGGTTTAATACTTGCCAGATATTCAGAATTGGAAGGTTTAATACTTGCAAGATATTCAGAATTGGAAGGTTTAATACTTGCCAGATATTCAGAATTGGAAGGTTTAATACTTGCAAGATATTCAGAAATGGAAGGTTTAATACTTGCCAGATATTCAGAATTGGAAGGTTTAATACTAACCAGATATTCTTTATTTTCAAGTACTAATCTTATTTATGTTTAAAACTCCTTGTAAAGTTTAATTATTAGGTTTGATACAAAATCGTCTAGATCAGGGAAAGGTTGGATAATATATATATATATATATAAGTTAAAAGCTGAATAATGAAAAATGACCCAGATCAAAACTGAAATAAAACTACAAATATGGAGTAAAAATATTTCTGATCATTCCGATCAAATCTGATAAAATCTGATAATCATAATTTTTAACTTTTCAATCTTTCCCTTAAGTGTCAATCCTGGTTTAAACCCTACCATTAGTTACTGACCTTTTTAAGAGTAATTCTTACAACATGACTCATTTCATTTCAACTTCTGCATTAAACTGACTTAAAACTTAAACTTTAAATATTCTTTTAAGAATAGTTCGGATGAACAAAGATGGGTGCCAGAATGGTTTATTTAGAGTTTTACTCAAATATAACACAAATATTTCATCATTAAGCTTCAACAAAAGAATTGAGTCTTGGCAACACACTCAAATTTTCTAATCTTTGTTACCTAGGTGTTTAAAATTAGGAATTTAAGATAAGGATTTTGATCTAACATAATTCATATTTTGAAGTATCTAAGGTCTACGACATTTGGTTGCAAAGAAGTAGGGATTAGAAAATCCGAGTTATTGGTAAAGACTCAATTCCTTTAGCTAAGTTGCAAAATGCGCTGAGATGCCTTAATTCCCATGACACTTAAAAAATCTTGATTCATCCTGATCTTTTGTTAAATAAACCTGCGAGGGATTAGTATACAGGTTAAAATGATGTAAAGCTTAAAACACGTTTGAAGTTCTCGGTTTACACAAATATCTTTGTAGACTGAAGCTGATGGTTTGATCTGATCAGATAAACATCTACTTCTCAAATATTTAGTCCTCGGGTATAAGTATAGACCATCTGTTTCTCCTAAACATGTAGTAAACAAGAACATGGGAATCATTATTTAATAAAACAATTTTCAAACCTATGATAAATACTTGAAACAAAGGAATTGAGTCTTTGCCACAAACTCTGATTTTCTAATCACTATATCTTTGGAACCAAATGTTGTAGACCATAGATATTTCAAACTAAGAATTCTGTTACATCAAATAATCTGAGTTTGAAATATCAAAGGTTTACAACATCGGGTTCTAAAGATATTGAGGTTTAAATATTTGATTTTGTTCCAGAGACCCAATTCCTTTTCAGAATGAAAGAAACAGAAACTCCATTCCGTGTTTAGCTTTATATATATATATATATAAGACACTAAGACACTTTTAAAACTTAAAAAGGAAAATTCTAAGTTCTGTAACAAGCTCTGTAATTTGAAAGCCATAAGAAGTGCATGCAAATTTATATGCTCTAAAATATCGTTTGTCTAAGGGGAAAACCATTAAAAAAAAGACACCGAGAATGTATGTTTCATCCAGAAATCCTTTATTACTGGGTTCCTGGGATCTGATTTGCAGGGTCCAAGGGATCCAGGTTGCAAGGTTCCTGAGAATGTTCTTTGGTTCCGTGATTCCATGCCACAGCTAGGGTTCCTAGTATCTAATCTGCAGAGCTCCTCGGTTTTGTTTTTCAGGGTTTCTGAGATCCAGAGTTCCTTGAAATCTTCATTCAATGGCTCCTGGGATCTTGTACTACAGGAATTTTGAGATTTGAAAGATCAGGGTTCATGTAAATATTATTTCTGATGGTTTGAACCTTAATGTCCTGTGTTCTTATTTCCAAGGAATCCTGAGTTCCCAAAGGCTCCTTCGTTCTCAGAGTTCCCAGGATTTTAACAAGTTTGTTTTACTAAGTTTTGTCAGTAGGTTTTATCAAATTCTTGATTACTTTTTTATAAACAAAATAGGATATGACATAAAAAAGTGAACAAGTTTTATTAAGGAAAACTTTTAACAGAATTAATTCTAGAATCTGTTTCCTGAACCTATTAGTGTAGATCAGGTTGAAGTGAGGGTTGACTGAGTTAGGAATAGTTTAAACATTCTTCTGTAAGCTTAAACGCTTATATTTCTCCTTGGAAATGTAGATATTGGATATCTGTATAAACTCCTAAAAATATTTGAGATTAAGAATTGAAGGAGTTAGTTACATATTTTAGGGAGAATTTAGTTGAACAAGTAGGGTACTGTCCTTCTTAGTTATTTCACGGTAGGTTTAATATTTTTTAGAAATCACCAGATATTCAGAATTTGTAGGTTTAATACTTACCAGATAATCAGAATTGGTAAGTTTAATACTTGCCAGATATTCAGAATTGGAAGGTTTAATACTTACCAGATATTCAGAATTGGAAGGTTTAATACTTACCAGATATTCTTTGGATTCTTTATTTTCAGGTACTAATCTTATTTGTGTTTAAAACTTGAGAGTTTTTATGTTTAGAGGTATTCTATTAAAGTTTGATACAAAATCTTCTAGATCAGGGAAAGGTTGGATAAATATATATTCCCAGACGTGTTCAATAAAACACTAGAAAACTGATAAATGAATGAATGAACGGCGTCAGTTCTGTTTACTTTTGAAGATAAAACACATTTCAGTTTACGTTT